TATAAATCAAATATAAGGAATCAAAAGATCATTGTACCAAAAAAAAAAAAAAATCATTTCTAGAGGAAAAAGACATTTATTTGACGTTGGAAAATGAGGAATGGCCGTGAACCTAGGTCAGTAGTTTTACTTTGGCGGTGATGATAACTGTTAAAATCTCCGGCTACGATGTACTATAAGCCGAAAACATACAATTGGCCGCCAGTGAGTGAGCCAGCCAGCGGAGGACAAGAAAAAAATAGTTTATTTTTTTAAAAAAAAAAAAAAGAAAGAAAAAACACGAAAGAGGTGGCGATTCCTTCATCCTCCCCAAATATTGTAACAACGGGAGCTGGGGCCCAAGTATGAACGAAAACCGCGGCACATGGGTTGGACTATACATCCAGACAAATTATAAATGTTTGTCAATTTTTTTGGAGTTGGACTCTCCCAAACTCAGATCGCCCACCGTCTTGAGCTTTGAGCCAATCACCACCGTCGATTCCCTAATCCCCAACAGATTCTTCCCCTCGGTCCCACTTCTTTTTCTCTATACAAAAACACTTGATCTTACTGCGTTGTAACGCGTTACTTAACACATACCAAGTGTACTGCTGTATTTTTATGCAAAAAGAAAAATAAAAGTAAATACTCCCTCCATTCACAAATAGATATTGCTGAAGAGATTTTACAAAATTTAAGGAGATCGTGTTTCTCTCATTTACTTTTAATACAATTGTAGTCCCAATAACATTTAGTTTTAATATAATTCTACATTAAATATCATTACAGTTTGTAATGTGAGAGTAGTACTGGAAAAATTTGACAAAATATACCTCGATTTGAGAGAACGATATCTATTTTGGAATATTTGATTTTTCTTCCAACGACATCTATTTGTGAATGAGGGGAGTAATAGAAGGAAAAAAAAAAAACTATTGTACTTTCTCCAGGTCAAGTACTTCAAGTTTAGTGATCTTTTTATTATTATAGTTATAATAAGATTATAGTTATAATAAGATTTATGATCTCATAGAACAACATATTATTGAAATATCCTAGAGTTAAATTGTGTGTTAACTGGTTAGAGATTGTCATAAAGTAAACGATAGGTTTAAACTTTAAAACGTTATTTTCTTAAAAACCTTGAAGCTCTATTCAAGTCATTTCTTTGGTTTGCAATTCGTTATTTTACTTTGGCGATGCAGATTCTCTATCTATCATCAATAAGATTTGTGATTGCGTGAACTATAATTTTTTTAATTAAAATTTGACATATCTTTACTAATTAGAAAGGGAAAAAAAAAAAAGTAAAAGAGGGGGATTCTGCCCTCAAGTACCTTACCTATTTCATCGTTACCTATCATGGAAATTATATCTTACATCAAACAAAGCATACGTCAAAGTTTTAAGCCCTCTTGCCTTCCCTCCTTCTCATGAAAAATAAATTCACATTATGATATATAAATTCACAAATTACAATTCTGACTATTTTTTTAGACGATGGTGTAAAACTATTTTTTAGTGTTCATTATGGACATTAAATGAAAATACATGGATATGCTTCATATCCTTTTCTGATATTTAGTTGTATTCGTTTCTTATTTTATTAGGTATTGAAAAATCTTTTGCTTCTCTGGATGATGTTCAGCAGTCAGCACTCCATGACAATAGTTCTTTATTCTTTTAATACATATATTTGTTTTATTTTTCTGTTGTTGTCGTGTAGATAATTCTTCATTCTTTGGGGAAAAAATATAACGTATAATTTATTATGCCTATTCATTTTTATTTTTATCTTCTTTTTTTTTTTTGATTTGGCTCGAACACTTTATTTACTCATAGCGGGATATATAGTAGTATTAAAAAAGTCAAAGTGTAAAACAAACAGAAACAGACTAGACTAATTAATTTCAATATATGTGATCATATCAATCCGTTTGGAGTGTTGCATTGTTTTGAATTCCAATGAAAAAATGAATAGAGCTTGATTATATATATATATATACATATATATATACATATATATAAACTAGTGATGTCTGGTCGCGCAATGCGCGACCCTAGCCCAGTATATCTGTAGATCTTAGAAATGTTTGTATTTGAAAAAAAATATTTTGCATTTGGCCCGATATATTTTAGAAATGTTTGAAGAATTTAGAAATGTTTTATAAGTGTGATCATAGAAATGTTTGTATTTGGTAAAAAAAAGTGTATTTGGCCCGATACGTTTTAGAAATGTTTGAATATTTTAGAAATGTTTTATAAGTGTTACTTATTAAATATAAATAAACTTGATCAAGTATATCTCTTGAAGTAAATGTTAGACAAAATATAAAAACATCCTAATAAGTTTAAATATTAGTAAGATGATTTATTGATATTCTCCATTTGTCGTGCCAAATCAATACTTGGTTTTGGAGATTTATAATAGCTTTGTAGTAAGCTTCCTTCGAAGGGTATACGTTTAATTGTTGGAACTGTTTCTTCCAAAGGCTTATAGCTAGTAAAATATCAAAAATATGATTTTGAAACTGATTAATTGTTGAAATTGGTTGATCACAAATATGAGAATGAAAATTAATGTAAATTTGCATAGGTTTCAAGTTATAGCAAAAAAGAACTCACCTCACCATGGCAAATAAAAAAAAATAAGCAAAATAGTCTATTAAAAATTGAGAAATTATTTTTTCCTGTAGGTAAAAATGATGTATAAAACACAAATATACGTAGAAACATCATTCCTTCCCTCTCTACCTCAACTTCATAAAAGGCTTCGCCATAATTAGTTAGAAGAAGTGACCTGAACCACTTATACGATGAGTAATTTAAAAAGGTCCAAAAACCAAATCCAAAAAAGTATATTCTTGAAAGTCTGAACACAAAAAAAAACGCGCTTCATTTGCAAAAATAATAATAATAATAATAATTGGTCAACTGGGAGTATGAAACAAAATCAAAAGCAATTAAACAAAGAAAAAACACAATTCATAACTGACCATGTACGAAAAAAAACTGAGACTCCATAATTAAAAAAAAGGAAAACACTCTAAATAAATAAAACATAAAAAAAAAATTAAAAAAACCACACTTTGTGATAAAAACCCAATTGATCAATTCAATTCAAACAGAACTAAAATCATACAAAAATTCTAAGCTGACTAACCATATAAAAAATCACATCATATTACCTGGCAATGGCTACGGTAGCTGTAACGGGTGGACGCATAAAAATAATAGTAATAACACTATTCGTGAAAGGGAAAAACAAAAAATAATAAAAGCCGTACAAATGATCTGTGGATATAAAATCATTAAATTTTAATATCTGTAATGGCACCACCACAACGGCCGAAAGCAACATCAATGAGAATTTTTTTTCCCTTTGTGTTTATATAGAGAGGTAAAGAGAATATATTTTGAAGTCGAAATTTTATCTGATTAGGATGTAATTGATCATCACTAATGAAAAGATTGAACATGATAATAAGAAAGAAGTATATTTCACCACATATTCTCAATTGATGATTGATAAGGAATTTTGTTTTTTTTTTTTTTATTGTGGAGAAGGGATTGATTAGGTAGTCGATTGTTGTGGAGATGGAGATGAGAATTTGTGTTTTTTATGAAGCCGTGTTTTTTTTTTTTTTTTTGGCGAAAATAGGAGGTGGTGGTGGATTTGGACTGCATTTGACTTTTAAGTATAGGAAACTGATGTGTAAATAAAAATTTATTTTAAAATATGATGTGGAAATACCACATGGTAAATGGTGGTGCTTTCTCTTAACTGTGGTTTTTGTTTCTAATATAGTAAGTTATATATATCTAATATATATATATATATATAACTTTCAAAAATTAAGAAGTAATGAATGTTTAATTAGCCAATCTAAAGCCCTCTGTATCTCTCTCTCTGATTTTTTTTTTTAATAGTTATTTTTTATAATAAGCAACCTCTTTCTCCGTTTCGTACCAAAAGTAATTACGCAGGGAAATAAGATGGGATTTTTCTGATTAATTCATGGTGTAATTTTAGCATATACGTTGGATTTGTTTGGATGTCATTTTCTTTTTTAGATTACATAATGTTGTTTTGATTAGTGTCGTATTTAATTTAATTTGTGTTGGTAAAACTAAAATGATATGCCTGAGCTAGAATTCCAATATTTGTACTGAAGTTGTATACGCCGCAAAAAAACTTAATTAAAGATTTCTAATCAACTTTTTCTAGGCGGATAATTGCATTTGAATAAGTTTGTTTTGTCGACGTTGACACTTTAGAATTAATAATTTAAGATTCTTTATGCTGCAAAGGAGTTTAAGGGATCCCACATCTTTTATATTCGCATTTTTTAAGCCACCGAAAAATGGAGAAAGCTCTCAGAATATCGCCACCGCCTCATCCTTATGCACCTTATTGTACACCAAGAAGCGCGGCCACACCATCTCTCTGACGGTTTTTTTCCGCCATTGGATGTCTCGTGCAATTACAGTTATCAAATTGGATTACTGATTTAAGTCCTTAACATCAATAACTAAATTTAAAAATGTGGAACGAGAAGGAACACCTATTTAGGGTAAAACGGGAAAGAACATAATCGCAAGTTACAACAAGGCAAAATAATTGGCTACGAAAGCATCAATCAAAGGATTTTAAGTTCTACACGTGAACTCTTCTCCTCGTGTACTACTCTATCTATAGAGGTCATGGGGTAGTGGTTCTTCAAATTGCTTCAACGACTTGTTTGTTACTTGTTGTTTCTTGTCTTTGTTGTTTTTTGTCACAGTATACCACCATGAACGATTCCGACTCCTCCTTCAAATTCTGATATTGCAGTGTCTTAAAAAATTGATAATATATTCACAGACTCACCAAATTCAACTCATTATTACGTTTCATCTTGGGTGAAATTTTATTGTGGGTAAAAAGTTAATGTTAGGTGAACTTCGTAATTAGTTAATGTGATGTGTCAACGCATTATTAAAGTTAATAATTGTAAAATAAAATGAAATATAACAAGTTAGTTTAACAAAACATCATCTTATTTTTTTGCAAAACTCGCACTGTGAAGTGAGAAAATCAAACTGTAACACGAAAACAAATAAAAAAAGGAGCTTCAAAGCTGCATGATTTATTGGGATGAAGCACGTAGTTTCAAACTTTCATGCACGTACAGATCGATCGACAGAAAGCGCCGCCAGCTTAAACTTCTTCTAACCAGAAATATCAATGGCCTTAACTTCTTGCTTCTTCTCCTCAGCCACTTTCGGAATCGTCACGGTCAACACTCCGTTCTCCATGCTGGCTTTCACCTGATCCATCTTGGCGTTCTCCGGCAGCCTGAACCGGCGGAGGAACCTGCCGCTGCTCCGCTCCACGCGGTGCCACGTGTCGTTCTTCTCCTCCTGTTCTTTACTCCTCTCTCCGCTGATCTGGAGGATCCGGCCTTCTTCCACCTCCACCTTCACTTCCTCCTTCTTCAAGCCCGGAACGTCGGCTTTGAACACGTGGGCTTCCGGGGTTTCCTTCCAGTCGATCCTCGCGTTCGCAAACGCGGCGGTTTCACGGGCCGTCGGGGCCGAAACGGCCCAGTTGGTTCTAGGGGTGAAGATGTCATTGAATGGATCCCAAACATCAACTGATGAGAATGGATCGAAGAAGCTTGGAATCAGGGCCATTGGCTAGCTAGCTTAATTGATTTCAGAAAACTGAAGAAATGGTGCAGGAAGGATTTGATCAAAATGGTTGCTTTGCTGTGATTATTCGATGATATTTTTCTTGTTTGGGAGTTTGAGGGATATATAGGGGGAGAAGACGAGTCTAGCTAGGCAAAGTTGATTAACTGTAGTAAAACCGTAATTTTAGCAAAAGTTGAGAGAAATCTAGAATAAAGAATGAGGAAGAATAAAGGGGATTGTTCTGGAGGTTGATGAAAGCATAAAGTTAGGATGGGGGGCCAATGACTACTGATGGTACTAGCTACTGGATCTTCTCTAATGTTCTACGAATTTCCTTGGTTTTTCACATTATGTGTACCAATTAGGAAGCATATGATTTCATAAATATGATGATGATTATAACATCCATCGGAATGTCTCAATTAAATGTATGTTTTGGTTACTGGGCTGCTGTCCATATTTCAATATCATCTTAATTTACACCTCCAAACTTCATAATTCGTTCAATTAGTAGTGTACCATTTTCAAGAATCATTTTGTTTACTATTTTTAGTGTAATATTCATAAAGTTCAATATGGATTATACTTGGGAGATAGTTGGAATAATGCAATAAATTAACAAGATAATGGTTTCGAAACAAGCAATTAGGTTTGTTTCAATTTTTCATTCATGCGTTCTTTTTTAACAAGAGAATTTGAGCCTAATAATAATAATAATAATAATAATAATAATAATTTGTTCATCTCCGATCGAAAATCAAATCATCTTAACGATGGAAATCTCTTCGGGTTTGAGGAATACATCTGTGAGGACTGTTGTTGACTGAAAACAAGCCTTGATCATCTTCAGAGCCTAATCAAATACACCAAGAAATACGTAAATTAATTAAGAACGAACAAATAGTACTAATTAAAAATTCAAGAATTTTATTATAGTGATGATCACTTACAGTTTCCATGTCAATTTCAACAGACTTCTCTTCAAGGCAACCCACATCTTTGACTTGAAAATTGTTGAGAATAGTGATGCAGGAGATGGTGGACATGGGCTTAATGGTTAGATCATCCATCACCATATATGCTACCATCCCTTTCACATATCCATCAACCAATTCCTGATGACCACCAAATTTATCAAACGCAGAATTTCATAAACCCCAAAACGATATCAACATATTTTGTGTATACGATTATTGTGAATAGTAAAAATAATACTAATCGTGAAAGTGGGATTAAAGACAGAAATTACAAACCTTTCTGCTGGAAGAACTCTGATAAGAGCCTGGTGAATAAACCTGCTGTTGAACAATGCACCCAAATTGGTGCAACATAGGAGTCTGCTTTGTGATTAAAGGAGAAGTTTTTGGGTTGAGCAATGTGGTTTTGGATTGGTTTGGTTGTAAGTAGATTGGATCAATGTTTTGGACAGCCTCGTAGACTTTGGAAATGGGCCAAGATTTGACCATCCCGCGTTCAACAAGATGGCTAATAACGGCACCGAGTGGAAGCTCCATAAGCCCAAAGAAAAAATCCACAAAGTCTTTTCCAGCTTCTGCAAACAGCACTCTCCTTTTGGTCTTGTCTACCAGCAGCTTTAGATTTATCTTTGTAGATGACTCTGATAAACTGCTCTCCATTTTTGTGTTTGTTGGAATTTTTGGTTTGGTTTTTCTGGTGTGCGGGAACTAAGTAGCTTTATATATGGTCAGGTTATTTCAGGAATGGAACTTATTTGATTCCTTCACAAATAATAAAGGAATATTTGTTCGAAGAAGATACGCATTTCCTTGCCTAAGGATGACATTCACAGACGATAAAGGAATGTACACACTTACACACTACCAATTCCTTGATTTTCTCAAACTGTTGTCGACGTTAAACACGCTGAAAACAAACATCGTACTAATTAAACCTTGCAAATTTTTTTGGACCCACATAATTAATTATTGTTAACTTTAACTAAGTTTGCTTATATCATGCATGTCGACAAATAATTTTGTTGGACTGCTACTTCACTTATGTCGTATTAAAACAATTCAGTAAACAAGAAGAGATGGGATTTGTATATATTGTATATGTATATGCAATTATGCTTTGATCATGGCAGGGGAGATCAGATAACCGCCTCATGGTAGAGCTAGATTAGTGGAAACGTAATCATTTTTTTACTCCAAAAAGAGGAAACAAAAAGAAAGCTGCCTCATATTTCACAGGAGTCATTATGAATTGAGAGCTTGGATTATTTTATTACTGAACACAATTTAACAAAACGCAAGAATTTGCCCGGCAAGTGAAGTGAACATCTTTTTCTTTTGACTTTGGGGAACATTTTGAAGTCATGATTACCCCAGAAAAGTACTAATCCTCACAAATACGTGTGGACCGATGGTCTCTCTATTAAGGAGACTTAATCAAAATAAAATGATCCTTCATTAATCAAGAAAATGTGAATTTGGAAAGTTATCAATAATTTACGTAAGATCGAGTTCGAAATGGATTTGAAGACGGGATTGATCTTCCCTGCGCTATCTACTGGATATGCAGGGTTTTTAGTAACAACATTAGTATCAGTTTCAACCATGGCTGATTTTGATGAAGGGATAATCTTCTATTTGGTGAGCAGAGTCTGGCCGTTAAGTGTATTACATACAATTCAAGGATTAACTTCTTTACGGAGATCAACAATCCCGTTTTCGGATACAATCCTGGGTTATATGGAGCTTTCTTCCTGTCTACTCCCCCTATATTTCACATGCTATCATTTATATCACGCCACCGATGACGACTTTCAATTTGTTCTCGGTGAGAAAGATGATCAAGCCATCATCAAGAAATCCCTCCATGTTTTTTGTAAGCGTTTGTGTGCTTTGGCTATTATTGCTGTTGTTGTGCAATATTATTTTAATTTTGGTGTTTCATTTATTAGTCCGGTCCCTACCCTAGTTCTTGCTGGTATTGAGAGTAAGTCAATACGGAATTTCTTTATCCACGGGAATGAGTTGGTTAGAGAATGGCTTTTAGTTTTTGAGATTCTGAGAAATCCTATCTATTCGATGATTGTTGTGATGGGCCTAATTTTATACCTTCATGTGGTAGTTGTTGAACCGTGCTTCAAACTGCTCATTGATAGCTCATCTATGATGACCAATGCCTATGAACAGAGAAGGTATATTGAAATTTCATTAGGGATGTTGGCGAATGCGGCGACCGCATACTACTTCAGATTCCAAACTGATCAGCTTATGTTTGGTTTCTTGAATTTTGCTCTGGCCTGCCTCTACTATGTTCCTTGTTTCAGGATTCCTACAGATTTGGGGATCACGCAGTTCTTTGTTACTTCGAGCATCCAGTGTGCAGTGAGCCTATTTGGCTTCTTCCATCTCAATACCGTCCTTGTCCTTTTGATTGGATGTGTTCTAATGGTTTTGAAGTGGAAAACTGAATCAAATCAATCTGCACAACCCAAAAGATGGGTAGGAGAAATGCGGTCGAATTTTAGCGACAGGCTAATATGTGTCGTCTTTGCATGTTCACTGGCCGATCTTTTATTAGGCCACAGTCCCGTGTTCAATGCCACGTATACAATTAAGGTTCATCCTTTCATAATTTTGGGTTCGGCTGTAGTAGTTGTGTGGAGAAAACCTCTTCTAAAGGCCGTAAAGATTATCTACATTATCGGTGTCCGGAACTTGAAGTGGTGGCAAGGCAATAGCGACAAATAACTATACTATATTACATCCATTTCAGAAATACTTTAAGCCTATCTTTTCTGACATATTATAACGCAAGTTACAACTTTCATGGAGACTGATGACTAACCTTTGTTAGTTGCGAGTCTCCCATCAACGAAAGCAGACAACATACCATATAGGCTATAGCCTCTCTTGGAATATATTATACACTCAGTATTCAAAGACTATTATTACCGTATGTTAATGCAGAACCGAGCATGATAAAACTCTTTTAAGAGACAAAATTCAATTATTTTAGTTAGTTTATGTAGGTTTGCTGTTGTTCTCATTAGAAACGCTTGCATGTACTATTTCCTTCAAATCATGGAACACTTGATTTAATTTCCTTTAGATTCCAACATAGCATCAAATAATTTCGACTATAACACAACATTGTCCATACTTCTCATTTGTAAATTTTATTACTATCTCTGTCCCAAAAAATAGTCCACATTGAGTTTTCAAATTTATACTAAAAACAGTATAAAACTCAAAATTCAATGAGGATTATTTTTGTGGGACGAAGTGAGTATTATTTTTTTTGATAACCTGACTTGTAAAATTTATTAGGGACATGTATTGTTGTCCCATTTGTTAGACCAAGAAAATACCATTAGACTAATAATGTTATAGTACGAGATGAAGAAAATATTGCAATAGACTCAATACTATATTCAAGCAACTCCCTTAAACATGCAAGTAAACTGCAATAAACGCCTAGAGTTCTAATACCTTATACAACAAACACAATCTTCAAAATGACCCATTAATGGAAATCGCTAATTGGAACGAGTTCTTGTTGGTATGTCTTTTATCTGGGACGTTGAATTTTACCCCGAATAAGAAAGGTCCTTAAAATAATAGTACTACTAAAAATTAAACACACTTCCAACAAGTTAGCGAAATTTCATTTATTTTGGAGAAATAGAAAAACCAAAAACGCGTCTTTTGACTTTCAACTTTCCCTTCATTATCATACTATAGTATAATTGCAGAATAACCTTAAAAGTTTGCTAATCCCTCATTTAATTTTTTGTTTAGTTTATTTATTTATTATTTATTTTTGTTGTCTCTCATCTAATTTGGACAAAAAGCATTTACATTTTCTTTAATTTATTTCATTATTATCTCACTGATTGTCTATTATATTTAAATTTATACTAATAAAGTACTCTCTTATGTCTAAGTTTATGATAATAAATTGTCCTTTATCATAAAAAATTTATAGTGAACCTTTGATCTACCCCTCCATTAACTTTTATCTTTAAGATTACAAAAAAAATCATTATTAGGTGAATTTAATAAGTCTAAAAAAGGTTTAGTGATTGTAACCTTTAATTTCATTTTTAAAATTGCAAAACAAATTAATTCCCATTATTACAGAATTTGCTGAGTCTAAAAACGGTTTCGGTGATCTAATCACTCTGAATTCCAAAATGTCTTCTCTTCTTCTCTTATTTTCTTTGAATTTTATAGATTGCTAAATAATTATTCTATAACTGAAAAGAAAATCAACAGTCATTTAGTCTAAATTTATTTACATATAATTTTAAAGAGTTCAAATTTTTGTCACTTCTCTTCTTTATCTTTTTTTTTTCCCGTTTCATCCAAGTTTTTTACTTTTATCTCTCATTCTCAAATCTATCATAATTAATCATCCTTCATTACTCATCTCCATGTTTATCTTCTTGAATTTAGTTTTTTTTTCTTCTTTTTTTAGTTGTTCTATTTTTTTTTTTTTGGTGATATGTACAGAAACTTAATTTTATTTTATTTATTGCCATTCATACCCTTTTTTTTGAAATCTGGATAAAATGTGTCACCATCATTAAAATCACAAGTGACTGAGTTTTAGTGATAACATTTTGTTGAATGTATGTTTTTATTTTTAATTTCTGATAAATTTATTAATACATTTTGTAGATAGTGTATTAGACAGAAATGTAACTTACTATTTTTATTTATATAATTTGTATTACGGTATTATATATAGCGTACGCGCTAAGAAGCGCGTCTGATTCATCTAGTAGTATAAAAAATATTATTTATAATCACCAAATAAATATGACCAATATCCACGCGGAGTAACGATGCCGTTCGACAATTTGCAGAAGTAGCATTCATTCATGTTTCTCTTCGGCAGTCGTCACCGGAAAACCAAATTCCACCGTCAACGACCACCGCCGTGACCCTCCGAGAGTATGTTATATAGATTCTTGCCAGCTTACAAAAGCAAACATTTGCTAAATTCTCTTACTTTCTTGGGGTTTCATCATGTATTGGTTCATAGTACTGCTGCAATTTGTACTGAAAATAACCCGAAATATGTTGAGAACAACAAGAAAGAGATTGATTTCGAGCTCTTATTTAGCACATGTACTGGAATACAGATTGCTAGAAAGATACATTCCCTCCTTATTGTGTCCGGACAAATGCGGGAGTTGAAATTTGCAGCAAGACTTATCAATGTTTATGCCCATTTGGGTAATCTTCCATCATCTTCTACCGTTTTTAAGCATATGCAGGAAAGGGATACTTATACCTGGAACTCGATGTTGTCAATTTATGCCCAAAATGGGCAATTTGATGAAGCTGTTGACTGCTTGTATGGAATGCTGTCATCAACGTGTTCTGATGTTCGGCCTGACTTTTATACCTTTCCTCCTCTACTGAAAGCCTGTCGTAAACTCGCCGACGGAGTGAGGATACATTGTTTGTCCTCAAAACTTGGTTTGGAATGGGATATTTTCCTGGCTTCTTCACTTGTACACTTGTACTGTCGCTTTGGTCAGCTTGTTATTGCAGATAGGATCTTCAAAGAGATGCCGTTTCGTGATATTGGGTGTTGGAATTCACTTATTTCTGGGTTTTGTCAATATGGGAATGCATCGGAGGCATTGAGGATTGTGGATGATATGAGATTGGAAGGAATTGAAATGGATGCAGTCACTGTTTCAACCATTCTTCCTGTTTGTGCTCAAAAGAATGATAGCGTAGGCGGGTTACTAATTCATCTTTATGCCGTAAAACATGGGTTGGAAATTGATGTTTTTGTGTCCAATGCCCTGATTAATATGTATGCTAAATTTGGGGAAATAAAAAGTGCTCAAAAGGTGTTTGATCAGATGACTATTAGAGATCTAGTTTCATGGAATTCAATCATCGCTGCATACGAGCAAAATGATTTTCCTGATCATGCAATTAACTTCTTTCATGAAATGCAACTCACGGGAGAACAGCCAGATCTGTGGACATTGGTAAGTATGGCTTCCAGTATTGCTCAGACCAGATGTGCTGTTTCTGGAAAAGCTGTCCATGGATATGTTTTGAGGAGATTTTGGTTTAGTAAAGGTGTTATACTTGGAAATGCAATCGTTGACATGTATGCTAAATTGGGTATCATAGAATCTGCACGCATGGCTTTTGAAGACATCCCCGTTAAAGATGTGGTTACATGGAACTCAATGATAACAGGTTATGCTCAGAATGGTTTTGCTAATGAGGCCGTCGAATTGTACAGGATGATGGTCTGCAATGACATTACTCCTAATGAAAATTGCTGGGTTGGGGTTATACCTGCATATGCTCATCTAGGAGCATTACGAGAAGGAACAAAAGTTCATGGTCAGGTGTTCAAACGAGGTCTCCTTTTGGATATTTTTGTGGGGACAAGCCTAGTTGACTTTTATGGGAAATGCGGCAAGTTGGATGAGGCATTGCTTCTGTTCAGTGAGATCTCCAGGATTGGCTCTGCCCCTTGGAATGCAATTTTGTCTTGTCATGGAATTCATGGATGTGGTTTAAAATCCCTTCAAATATTTGGAGATATGCTGGAAGAAGGGGTATTGCCAGATCACGTTACCTTTTTGTCTCTGTTAGTAGCTTGCAGCCATTCAGGCTTGGTTAGCGCTGGTAAATGGCACTTTCACCTGATGCAGAAAGAATTTGGAATTAAACCTAATATGAAACATTATGGCTGCATGGTAGATTTGTTTGGTAGGGCCGGCAATTTGGAAATGGCTTATAGTTTTATTAAAAACATGCCGGTGAATCCTGATGCTTCGGTATGGGGTGCTCTTCTTAGCGCTTGCAAAATCCATGGAAACATTGAGTTGGGTCGTATGGCTTCTGACCGCTTATTTCAAATTGATCCAGATGGTGTTGGTTATTACATGTTGTTGTCTAATATCTTTGCTAACATTGGGAGATGGGAAGGGGTAGATGTAGTTAGATCGTTGGCTAGAAACAAAGGATTGAGGAAGACGCCTGGTTGGAGCTCAATGGAGCTGCATAATGTGATTGAGGTCTTTTATACTGGAAATCAATCTCATCCTCAATCTACAGAGATATACAATGAACTGGCGGTTTTAACTGCTAAAGCAAAAACTCTTGGTTATACACCAGACTACAGTTTTGTATTGCAGGATGTTGAAGATGACGAGAAGGAGCATATACTCACTAGTCACAATGAAAGGTTGGCAATTGCTTATGCTATCCTAAATACGCCGCCAAAAAGCGCAATTCGGATTTTTAAGAACTTGCGTGTCTGTGGAGACTGCCACAATCTGACCAAATTCATATCTAAGATAACCCAGAGGGAAATTGTTGTTAGAGATTCAAATCGCTTTCATCACTTCAAGGATGGTTTTTGTTCATGTGGAGATTATTGGTGACGTTTTGATGTTAGGTATGATTCTTAGAGCTGACAAGCTCAACCAATACTCCTCACCCCCCTCCGCAGAAAGAAAAAAAAAAAAAAGTTTGGTTAATTCCAAGGGTTCCACAGATTTCGGATATGATTGAGAAATAGGTGATGTTGTTTGCAAGTTTTTTTTTTCCTCCTTTTGCTTATTTTTGCTCCTCATTTACCAGTTGAATGACACTTATTTTGACTAGTGCCACTCCCAAGACATTGATTGCCTGAGTCCTGCTTGCATAGAACTGTCAAGCCAAGCTGTTACAGATGTTGTTAAAGAAGCAAAAGACCTCAAAAAGTGGGGGTGTGTTGTTCACTTTAGGTTTTTCTAATTTTGCGTTATTTTATCATTTTGATGAATAGATTTCCTTCGGTACTGTTTCTGATTTGACTTTCATACATGGCTTATATTGTTGCAGAATTTTACACTTGACAACTCAGAATATCTTTTGTGAGCTGCTCTGGAATTTTTTCACTCAGCCTCTCTGTAAGAATAGGGCAATGGTGGGCATTCGAAGAACAAAAGCCGATTCTGTCCATACAATTGTTCAGCAGCAGAGCAAAACTCTAAGAGTATGTAGAGCTCGAAACTTTTTTATTAATTTTCTCCTTTTGTTGTTTTACTCCTATCTTTCTGTTTTGGATCGGAGCATTTGTTCATTTCAGTTAGTCTTGCTCAGAGATAATTGGCCCAAATCTTTATGCCACCTCCATGTTTGATGAACAATGTAAAAATGAAATGCTTATTTCAGTCTGGCTAGAATTATCACAGAGTGAAATTTTTATCCACCTCTGTATGATTCAAACTATTTGTCGATGCTCATTCAATTGGCTCTTTTCTCTTGGGTGTTTCATATTTCTTACACAAAAATACTTTCCCTTGTAAGTTGAAAGGAGATAGTTAAATGCATTTATTATTTTATTTATTGTGAACTTCTGTTATGCTTGGTAACTGGCATTTTGTGTATCATGCCTTTCAATCTTATTTATTTTCTTTTCATATCAATGCCTTGAGAAGTTTCGGTCGAATGTCCTTAATTATAGTTTGCAGTACTGTACAGCAAGCTGAATTTTATTTTTGTTCCTTGACCATCTAAAGAGAGACTTAATCAGAGGTAAGGCAAAGAGATACTCTACTACAAGGTGTTTGTAATATGTGACGAGAAATTAAGTCTCATAATTCTTATGGGGCAGTCTATCAGGTTTGATTTTCAATAGTGGATATCTGGAGTTTCTTTATTGCAGGAAGGTTACTTTGCACAATGCTGAGCTAATTTGGCCGTTACTGTGAATAGGTTTTATGCCCATGAGTCTAAGAAATTCAAAGGTATGGCTGCTGCTGCTATGGCCAATAAAATGCTTGGAGGTTGCATACTCATGAGTAAGTTATACCTCTCAAAATAATAGCGCAAGTGAGAGCAGATGAGTTGCTAGCAGCTCTACAATTAACTCCCACAGGTATAAGAAATATTTGAATCCTGCTGGTTTCTCTGTATACTATGGCTGCTTTAATTCTTCAAATCCTGATCAATCTGTATGCAGGGCTGTGGATGATTGATTTTCCACCATCACCAACACCATGGTCATTTTGGAATGATACAGCAAAGTGGCGCTGAGTTACAATGGGGTTCTGTACTGGAAGGTGGGGCCATATCATTGCTTTTGATCTTTCTAAAGAGGGATTTTCCATTTTCTCCAAGCCACATGTTTATAAGCGTTGTCTGGCTTTATCAATTTCAACCCCCTTTGTGAACCCACCAAAGGAAGACAATGAATGTTGAATCATCTCTTATCATGGCGACAGCGGCGATATTAGTGGCAATGGCACTGGAGGGTTCAACCGAACTTAAGGTTTCCGAGTCGCGACAACCTTGATGTTGGGGACTTGGGGTTATACACCCTGATGGAATGGTTTCGATGCAGAACCTTAACAACTTTTTTTTTTTTTTTTCCTCTTGTATGTATACGATCCCTCCAATAGGTAACTGAACTGATTCATCATTTTCACCCCATCACCTGTTCTATCCATATATAGATTCATAATGTAAGACATCACATGTATTTTGATGAGAACGCACGTTGGCTCACTGAGATGTTCGATTCCACTTCGTAGCAGCAGCGACCGACCGTTAACAATTGACAGTATTGAGTTAACTTAGTTGTAGTTCTCTTCTTCTTTTATGACATTGATGAGATGCTTTCTTTAAAAGAATTTCCAGAAACAAACAAACAAACAAACAAACAAATGCAGGAGTTCAGTAATAATTCAATTTCCTCCAATTTTCAGGAAATAAAATCAGAAGAGAGAACCTAGTGTAAATCCTAATTATATAGTACATCATTTCCTAATGATATAAGGAAAAAAGAATAGAAAAGTGGCAACTGAACTTAGGTTTGATTTTGCATTTGGGCCCGAGCTATATACATTATTTCCTAATGGAAAAGTGTTGGTACAGGACATAGATTTACGTATAGATTTTGATGGGCTACTTGTTCTCTACTTATATGACCCCTCAGACAAGGAAACCCAAATTCTGGTCATTCCCAAAATCGGGGCCGACTGGTGTCCTTGCAACAAGGGATTTAGTTTGAAGAAAACATACTCTCGCTCAAGTGTTTGATCCCATCTTAATAAAGTTTGTAAGTACTTATTTTTATTAATTCAGTATTAGAAGATGAAACATAATAAGAGGCGTTTATGAGTTTTGTTTCATCAAAATCCTCAAAGACATTTTGATTTGTTGAATTAATGGGCCTTTAGTTTAATGTATCAAAAAGGTTTCCACTAATGGCTGGTTTTTATTCAGATAGTTAACAGCTGGCCCAATTTGGGGAGGTCAACTCATCAGCCTGTATCCATAGTTAGAAAAATTATTGGGTATGTGATATAAATCCCGTAGAAATTATCTATCTCTCCTCTTCAAAATTATTACTTTACTTCTATTATTGTGTTGTATAACAGCTGCACTGAATAATTTATCCAATAGTTATAAACACGTATTCTTTGTTTTGAGATTTTTTTTTTTTTTTTTTGAGGAAAGCTCTATGCATTTCCAGAATATCTGATAATCTAAATTCTGTAATGTGCAGATCCTTCACATTTACACATCAATAAAATCTCAGGAATGGTATTGGTAAAAATCGTCTATACTCCAAATCACTTACAAGTGTTTACAATGTTTCAACGCATTCAGACAACCGCCCCAAGTCGTTACAAGTTTACTGGATGCATTAGTGATGTGTATTGTCAATCAGGGGCATGGCAATGGGATCTTACGGTTTTCACGTAACGTGGGGTACCCCCAATCATCAAATCATCAATGTCTCTAATCAAATTACTTGACATCAATGCCAATCCTTGTTTAATTTTATCCCCATCTTAAGAAAGAAGAAAAGATATTTCGAGAACAATGCAATCAATTGGACTTATAAATGGTATTAATCTCGCGCTTTCAAAAAAATAATTTACTTTGTTGTATTATTTTAATTTAACAAAATCGACTAGCTATTTTATTAGGAGTTGGAACAAACAAAGTACATAGTATATATCTGTACCACGAAGTCCATTAAAATTGAAGCTCAACTATAGGGATTCTATTGTAATTAAGTTCTTTTGTATTCCCTTCTTTATTTTAATATTTCTTTTTAAAAAAACATTGTCATAATCTTCCTAATTAATACTGCTATAACATAAATTGTTTAATGTCAGATGATCTCCAATAATAAAGAAGGATAACGATGAAGATAACACTGGACAAGTGATCAAAGTTTTTCTCTTTTGTGAATGCGTGTATAGCAGGGGAAGTTAATTTGAAATGACTTATGAACAAATCAAAGCCATTATGATTCAATGATCTGTCTTTTTTTTTTTCTTTTCTTTTCATGTACGTGTGTTCCTAATCATATACTTGTGCCAAAAATGATCGGTCTATTTCTCACGTACATGTGTTCTTACCACAGTACTTGGAATTATGCACACTCTAACACTTGATCATGTTTGTTGATTCATTTTCTCTCTTATAACATTTTTCTTTTTTGGTACAAGAAAGATTCATCATCTCTTTGATTGATAAAAGTACATCTATCAAGGTATCGTAGATCATTTAGGTACGACGTGACATATAATTTTTACTATATATATAAGCATTCGTGTCCAAAATCATTACTTCGAGTCTCCGGCTAAATAACTAATAAATAATTGATGAATAAGCTAGTGACTCTAGTGAAGGGTGCGATGGAAGAGTACTTTATGTGATAGTTAGGAAATTAAGATGAGAGATAATTGTTCCAAGATTGGAATTTTGAATCTCATTAGAGCAATTTTCTTTCACATTGCAAGAATCTCTCCCCCGAAAAAAAAAAACCTAGATATTCCTGTAACTTTCATAATTAGTCTCGTCACTTGGATGTGTTGGTCATCGAAGATACTAAAGAAGGCACTCAATTATTTTTAACAACACAAATTTACATGAAACGTACCATCGGTTGATCTAATAATCTAATTTGCAAAAGCTTGGTTCAACCACTTCTACATGATTAAGAAGTTTTCCATTTTATTCACCAACTCCATCGAGTATTTTATAGAGTTATAATCGTAATTGATGGTTTCACTAACACTCTTGGAACTTCTAATCATCCTTAAAAGAACGTCTATAACAAACTTAATCAAAATTGTATAAGACGACACTACTACTTGAACCATATACACTTAATTTTTCCTTGCATCCAATTCTAATTACTCGCTTTGTTCTAGTGTTTTAGTATAACAAAATGAGTTATTAAAATGACACGGTGAGATTAGTTTTCAAATATGAAATGAATCTGACCAATTATTACACGATTACGTAGCACACATCAAATCAGTGGCAAATGGTTACAGTTTCATGCAAATTGCTTTTTAAAAAGAAAGAAAAAAAAAACTGAAAATATGTTCTTCAAGTTTCCTTAAATCGAGCTTGCGGACAAGAGGAGACAAGTGATGTTAGTGATGTGGAAATACGCATTTGGATGGTTGTAAGTTGTGTCACGACTCTTCAACTTCTTCCTTCTCTACTTCTACCAATTCATGCCCCACCCAAATACCTTACTACAAAACAAACCCTAGCTAATTGATTCTTGCTTCCAACCATCCATCAAATCACAAGAACAAGATTATCCTTTTTTTTTTATTATTAATTTTTGTTGTGGAATCTTAAAAGGTAGTTCATAAAATTACATAATAAGTTTAATAAGTTCCGTGAATCTATTTATTATGACCGGACCAAATAAGATTACTATGACTGCCATAAATCCATCGTTTTCGATGGTATATACTACAATCAACATTTTGGTTAACCAAAGTGTAGAAGAAACCATGATTGCTTACATGGGTGAAAAAGAATCCTTGTGATACTTCTTATGCATGAATGTATGTATATATGATCTCTATGCAGGAATCTCAAACATCGTTTTCCAATGGTACGTAATTCTTCCCCAACTTTTTTAACAAGCAATATAATTGCAAAGGAAGAAAGGAAAGAAATCGCTTAAATTACCACAAGTTGTGAGATTAAATTAATGTTAGTGGTTACCACTAAATCTAGCTAGCTCAGTGGCCACCCAGAAAAGCCTAATTAAACACATTATTCTTGTTGCAAAGGTTTTGGGAACAAATCCCCCGTCACACGTGACGCAACACATATATACTTGTAAATGACTGATGGAAATACATTAAAAAAAAAAAAAATTGGAATAATTTGAGTGGTTATATTTTGGATCTAGGAAGTTAATAAAGGAAGAAAGGAATGCACGGGTCTTTGGAAGAATCAAATTAAAATAGATTTGATGCTTAATTTTGTTGCAGCCAAAAGTGGGACGTAAGACACTTTGAATTATACTTCATTAATTTTTGTTCTGGCTAGATGCTAACCTTGGTCCATTACTTCAGGTATCTTAATCGCTTGTGACTCTACAATATTTCTTGCCTAAAGAACTAAATAATAATTTGCTAAAGTTGAAATAAGCGAAACTGATAATCCATCAAGTCGTCTACAAGACTACAACTCAGGGGAAGAAAAAAAATATTCAATAGTTTGGATGATTAACACCATACATAATGTAAAAAAATAATTATTTATTTTTAACATTCCTTTCCTGGATATACCGAAATTCATACGATTAATTGCTTGAACAACAAGATTTTTCTTAAAGTAAAACAATAAATCCTAATTAATCTTCTCCCTTGGATCAGTTAATGTATGATCCCTGACGAACCAAACCTTTTGGGACTTATTTGTTGTACGATATATATATATATATATATATATATATATATATAGAAATTCTATGGTCCAGTCATTGATTTTTGACTGAACCCTTTAGCTAATGACTAACCAATCAAAAATTAGCCATTCATAAATTATTATGGGGTGAGAAGTATACTAGCAAATTCTAAATTAATTAGTAACCTGCTAATCATATTAGTTACTTGGATAAATACAAAATTAACCTATGTGCGTGTAGCTACTAATAACAATCTTATTCTTAAGAATATTACGTAATTAAATCAAACAATAATTCTTCAATTCTCAAAATTTCCAAATAATTCTTCAATCCTCAAAATTCCCAAACTTATAAA